CCAAGGGCTCAAGTAGAAAGCAAATGTTTTGAGAATGATGAGGGCAAGGAAGGTACAAATGTGCTTGACGCAATGGATGGAGGGATGGATGGTGATAAGAGTTGTACGAGCCCCCAGTAAAATGATTTTAAAACAAACAAACAACTCACTGGCATCAAGCCAATGCCGACTCACAGCCGCTCTACAGGACAGGGTAGACGAACTGCCCCTGTGAGTTCTTGAGACGGTAACTCCTTGTGGGAGTAGGAAGCCCCGCTTTATATAAAATACATCCCTTAGACAATATTTATATGAACAGTTGTATAAATATCCTTATCTCCCTCAGACAAATGCTTCCACCTTGAAATCATTAAAAATAGATTCGTATTGTGGCTTTGTGTTTCTGGCAGAAACAGTCCTGTGAGCGCTCCTTGGCTGAGACGGAAGGGAATTACTGCCAGCAACTGCAGCAAGTCCAGGAGCGGATCGGGGCAGTGGGGGAACAGCTGCGCCAGACGCGCACGGAGACAGAAAGCCAGAAGCTGGAGTGTGAGCGGCTTCTAGATCTCAAAATCTTTCTCGAAAAAGAAATTGAAACGTACTGCAGTCTAATCGATGGAGAAGAAAGGTAAACATGAATGCTTGAAAAGCAATTTCTCGTCACGCCAGGTTTTCTCTTGGCGCCAATACTGTGTCCTAAAAGGTCCTAGTGTACAGAGTACCCCTGCACGCGTCCCCCGGGATGCATTATAATGCATGTTAGCATCCAGGTGGCTTGACAACAGGCAGCAGCTCATCTTTCTAAGGAACGAACTTGTACCCATAGTAATAAAAAGAATACGTAAACACAGAACATTGAACAATTCCAGTATTCCAAACCAAAGGAAACTTGGCTCTCTGTGATTTCACGTGGAATCATATTTCTCATCATAACGCATCCGAGGTCATCCTGGCTTCACTCCTTACCCCGCACGCCCCCTGCGTTGAGTGAGCCGCTAGCTTTCATTTGAAAGCTGGGCAGTGGAGACATAGGAAGCGGTCGGCGGACAGGCATCACAGCTGGTTAGCTGAAACAACAGCCCCGGGATTGCAGCCCTGATTGAACTCATACCAGCCAAGCTGCTTTAAGCATGTTGTTTAATCTCTTATTTTTATTCATTGGGATTTAATGCATATATCATTCCATAGTTCAGTCATGTCAAGTAGAATTGTACAATTGCTACCACAATCCATTTCCAGGCATTCATTTTCAACATGGACTCCTTGACATCATCTCCCTTTTATCCCACCCCCACCACTGTACCCCCCCTTCCCCCTGAACCCCTTCTTCTACTTGCTGTCCCTGTAAGTTCATCCATCCTGGGTGTCAAATACCGAAAAACAAGAAAGCAAATAGCACAATTTCAAGAGGGTGGCCTCCAATGACATAACACCTCTGAGACACCCCTAATATGAACAAAAACCAAACCAAACAATACATTACAATTTTGGAAACCAGATCAGCTCCCGCCTGCATTACGGGGGAACTCTACCGACAGTGTTTTAACTGTTCAAGTCAGATTTATGCCTTTGGTCTTTCTTCTAAACTCATCTCTTCCAAGCACTCTGTTTAGTGGCCCCTTGCCTCCCATCCCTCAATCTTAGATAGGGGGAGTTCTCCGGGGGGTTATTTCCTATGTAGGTCCATAATGTTTCATCTCTACGCTCCCGTTTCCTCCTTGGTAAAACTACAATAAGATCAAAACCACACTCCTAACTACTCTTGAACATGGTGTCTCATGAGGGATAACAAGTGCTCGGAGAAGTGCCTACCGTGGTGCTCAGTAACTGGGGCTGTTCATAAATACTTGCCACACCATCAGTGGGTGACGCCCTTTGCAGACTCTTCTCATGCCAGCCCAACAGCGTCGTCCCCTTGGAACAAAGTGCTGACTGCACCATGCATATTTCGTGCAACACAGAAGCCAGCACCTGCAACAGCGTAGGCGCCCCAAGCATGTCCACTGGCCATTTGACTGACCAAAAAGCCAGAATGAGAACTTCCATTCCCCATTTTGCTAAATCAAAGAGATTTCTGATTATATATGTAATTTATCATACGTTACGTATTTCTTATCTTATGTATAGCAATTTATCCTTTTTGCCACAGAGAAAGTAAGTCCACGTGTTACACATCTAAAGGCTCTGTACCTCTATCTGCTGGCAATCAAGTGAAAGGTGCGTCTTGGCAGAGTTCTTAAATTCCAGCCAAGGTAGTCAATAAACCATTTATTTGTTAGCTAATTAAAGCCTGATTCTAAGTTTAAACCTAGAAAATGAAGAGATAAAAGGTCATTATGACAGTTCTGAGTATTTGTATTTTATATTCCGGTAGAGCAGGCTTGGTCAAATTATATAATTGTGAAAATGAAGAACCAACCCCCATTGTCTTACTTCCTTATAATTTATTAATTTCAGTTTCAGTGCTGTGATCCAAGAGCATTTTAGTATTATGCTATCATGCACTTTATTATGCTCACCATGAAAGTAAAACAAGTTGGTATGTAAAAGGAGACCGTATTCCTTGCACGGGCTTGCACATGCCTGAAACTTACGTTGTGTTAGCCCATGTTTTGTTCACATCGTCTAACAGCCATGACGTTAGCAGCTGTGGGAAATAGAAGAAAGCTCGGCCAGGGCCTTTGTAAGCGTCCATTTCAAGCACTGTGTCCATTTACTGCCACGTCAAGACAGTCAGGACTGAGTGAAGACCTGCCAACCTGTTAAAAACAGGTGCTAAAGCTTTTGTTGATCTTATTTTAGACTCAACAGAAGAAATTGTGGTCAAAACAGTGGTTGAGGAACTCGATCAACTTGGCAATGTCCTGTCATTAAGGGTCCACTCAGTTGAAGAAAAATCCTCGAAAATAAGCAACATTACAATGGCGCAAGGACTACCTGCTAATGCACCATAAGAAGAACAATTAGTTACAAACAACAACAAAAGCCGGCCTCTTCGTAAAACTCCCAAAAGTAGCCCAAGGAAACCATTCGTTTATGTTCTTCAGAATAAAAGGGCTAGAATTTGCTTTCCTCATCTTCCTGTAAGGAGCCCTGGTAGCATGATGGGTTAAAGGTTGAGCTGCTAACCACAAGGTCTGTGGTTCAAAACTCACCCCTCGCTCAGAGGGAGAAAGTGAGGCTGTCTACTCCCATAAAGATTCAAAGTCTCAAAACCCAAAGGAGCAGTTCTGCTCTGTCCTCTAGGGTCACCGGAAGGCTGACGGGCTGGTAGTGGGTTTTTCTCTTCCCTTTCTCGTATTCTTTGCCTGTCATCTTTTTTAGAAGAAGAAAAATATCTCACTCTGTCCCTCGCTTTTGTTATTTTGTGTTTCTTTGACATTTCATTAAAGATTCTTCTCTTGCAAATTATGAAAAGTATGATAAATCTAGTTATTTTGAATTTGCACAGTTTATTCCATGTGTTAGCACCACTTACATGCTAATAAAATAAAGTGCTTTATTGCATAGTCACATTTCAGTCAAATCTGTTCCTGGTTCACTATAGTAATTAATGTCTTCAACTCTTTGGGTTTGGGCTTCTGTGGGAATGAAAGAAAAGTGTACCAGTAAGTCATAAATCTTTCTGTACCTTTGCAGTACTAAGCTTCAATGAGGGATCAATAAATCTTTTTACCTCCCTAAATGGGACTAGTTGTAGAGAGGAGATCACAGATGATAACATTAAGGAACTGAATTTTTTTAAATGTACTATCCTTTACAATTGCTCCAAAGAGATTCATATCCTTAGATAGAAGCATAACAAAATACATACAGGATCTGCAGGATGAAATCTATAAAATGCTAATGAAAGAAATCAAACGGACTCTAAATACTTGGGAAAACAATTGAAGAGTTTAGTAAGGGAGGTAATTATCCTTTAATAGTTCTATAGGCTTAACACAATTGCTATCGAAATCTTAGCCAGGTTTGTTGTTTTTTTTGCAGATATAAGCAAGAGAATTTAAAATTTATGTAAAACTAGAGAGGCTCTAGAACAGTGAACCCGATTTTAAAAGAGGAGACTAATGCCCTGTGGATGCTTCTTACCAATGTGAAGGTTGACTGCATAGTGTCAGTCATGGCAACAGTGAGCCGGCGAGAGATAAACACAGCAATGGGGGGGGGGGGGGGCAAATAGAGAACACAGACACAGACCCACACGAACATGCCCACTTAAATTCTGACGAAAGAGCAAAAGCAACCCACTGAGAGAAAAAGAGCCTTTTCAACAAATGGTCCTGAAGTCCTGAAGAACTTCAACCTATATTTCACATCTAATACAAAATGCTTCAAAACAGATCATGGATTTAAGTGGAAAATCATAAAACAGGAGAAAACCTTCATAAAACTTAGTATCAAGCCCAGGGTTCTTAAACTTGATGTCAAAAACAGAAAAGGAATCCAGAAAAGGAAAAGACAAAGAGAACCATAAAAGGGAAAACTGGATAAGTAGGAAGGTAGATAGATAGATGATAGATAGATAGATAGATAGATAGATAGATAGATAGATAGATAGATAGATGCCCTGTGGGTGACGATGACTAAATCAAATCAACAGCCACGAGTTTGGTTTGATTTATTGTTAGTGTTATGTACTACATAAACCGACGTGACAAGGTGGACTGACATAGTAGCTGGGACAATGGGCTCAGACAGAACAGCAGTTGGAAGGACAGAGGGTCACTATGAGTGGGAACCCGACTCCCTGGCACCTAACAACAAGAATACACAAGGAACCCCAGGTACGCCATCTGTTTGTTGCTCTTGTGGTGTTTCCTTGCGATATCAGTAATCAGAATTCTGGTGGTACACTTGCTAAAGTACTCAGCCACCAACAGAGAGATCGGTGGTTTGAACCCATCAGTCTCTCTGAGAGGGAAAGACATGGTAGTCTGTTTTCTTAAAGAGTTACAGCTTTGCAAACCCTAGAGGGCAATGCAACTCTATCCTATAGGGTGACGATGACTAAATCAAATCAACAACCATGAGTTTGGTTTGATTTATTGTTAGTGTTATGTACTACATAAACCCACTTACCTATTACCATTGAGATATATATATATATGAATCATAACTTGATATCAGTAATTTAATTCCAACCCAACACCACCTAAATGCATTATAATTTGAGGTCTATTTCTCTTTCCATCTGTTATCCCTCCTTCTGACACTAAGTTCCCATTGCTATCTTCCCCAATGTACACAGGCTCCCACCACTCAGACGTGGGACCCCTCTCCCCTCCACACACACAGTGCTCTTCTCTACTTGTTTAGGCTTCAAAACACCATGCTGGGAAACTGCAGCTGCTCACCCCTACCCTGTGTGAGCACCTACCTTTCTTAGCCCTATTGAATAGCAGCTCCTGAAGTGAACAATTCAGGAAGTATAAGAGAAAGAGCAGATCATGTCTTGACTCAAACACTCAGGATCTAGTAAGTAGTGTTAGTTGAGTTCATTGAGTTCATTGAAAACCCAATGAGTGTAGGGGCCTTATTTGATCCGACAAGACCCTTGTCTGGCAGACAGCACCCAAAAACTGATTCATAGTGACCCTATAGGGCAAAGCAGAACTTTCCCCAGAGGGTGTCCAAGCCTGTAAATCTTTACAGAAGCAGGCGGCCACATCTTGCTCCCTCAGAGCAGCTTGTGAATTCAAACTGCTAACCTTTGAATTCGCTGTTGAACACATGACTCACTGCCCCACTAGAGCTCCTGACGGGCACAGCACTACCACCACCCCCTGTGGTCAAGTGGATTTCAATTCCTAGAATAGAGCAGAGCTGCTCCGTGGGGTCCCAAGCCTAGAAAGCTTGACAGGAGAAGCCTGCCTTGTCTTTCTCATGAGGAGCAACCGGTGGATGTGAATCATCAGCTTCACTAACTGCCCAAAGCTTAGCCCGCTGTGCAACTAGGCTCCTTAACCAGCACACAGTAGGTGTTTCAAAAATATCTGTTCAATGAGTGAATGAACCAATATGTTCACAAATAACCTCACATAGTGAAAATGAAGAGAAATTTGGGGCATATGGCTATTTTCATCGTTTTTTCCAAATTTTCCATAATCGGTAGAGCTTTCCAGAAATATGTGTGATCTCACAACTAGGCTCTAGTTAATTTCCTGTTAATTTAAAGAAAGACAAAATATTTCCTTCCATGCCGGCTTTGGGTTTCGCAGGGTCAGGAAATAAGCTAATGTCCTTTATGACTCCCACAAAGAAAACAGCAATTAGGGGTGTGTTTCTAATTACCAAAGGGGATAAGAGAAGGTCAGCCCTTCCCAGACACCAGTAAGTGTCAACACAATATGATGCACGGGTCAGCCAAAACGGAGTTGCCTCCCATCGTGAGCAGTGGCAAGGAAAGGGGACACTTGAAGGACCGATTGGGGAAAATAATCATCTCTCCAGATAGAGTCGCTACTTAAATGTAGAAAGCATTGGGAACGCAAATACATACACGGTCTCCACAGCATCCACGGCTACCTTGGCATAATAAGCCAAGCCCAAGATGCCAAATTTTAATGCTGTAATGGACCGATGGACTTTATCATCTGAGGATGGAGGGAAGAATGACTCACTCGCAATTTTCAAGTGCAGTAATGAAGCGGACATGACTCCACCTAGACCCATTTCTCAGATAACCACCAACCCGAGGGCGCTGCCCATCTACAGAAACAAACCCCGCAAAGTCACTTACTAATTAGGAAAAATCACCCTCTGACGCTAACTTGCTGAGGCTGGCAAGCCATGGTTTACTCTATGTTGGCAGAATTTCATCCAGAACACCCTTGGGATTGTCTATAAAAAGGCAAACAAAACACCTGAAGCAAGAAGGCATTTCGGTCGGACCTCCACGAGCACGCCACCACAACGCCTCTGCCCTGACGCCATGTCTCTTCGCCTTTCCAGTGGATCCAGGAAGCCCGGTCCTCGACCCACCACGGGTTCACTCAGGCTCTCCAGCGCGGCAGCCAGCTTTGGGGCTGGAAATGCTTGTGGCATACCTGGAATCGGAAGTGGCTTCTCTTGTGCCTTTGGTGGCAGCTCATCGGGAGGAAATGCAGGAGGGAGCAGTCTCTGTGCTGGCTTTACCGTGAATGAAGGAGGCCTCCTTTCTGGCAATGAGAAGGTGACCATGCAGAACCTCAACGACCGCCTGGCGTCCTACCTGGACAACGTGCGTGCTCTGGAGGAGGCCAACGCTGGCCTGGAGCAGAAGATCAAGGGGTGGTATGAGAAATTTGGGCCTGGTTCCTGCCGTGGTCTTGATCACGACTACAGCAGATACTTCCCAATCATCGACGATCTTAAAAATCAGGTCAGAGCCCATATTTCAATCATTTTTATCTACTTTGTTACTAAAGATACTCTTCCTTTCTTGAGGAAATTCTGAAAATATTTCATAATTGTGATTGTCTTAAGGACCTTTCAATTTAGCCTTAGGAATAAGCAGGATGTAGAGTCTGTGGTGATGCGTTGGGCTGCCAGCTGCCTGGGGGCAGTTTGAAACCAGCACCTTCTCGGGAGACAGACTGGGCTCTCTACTCCCGTAAACAGGTAGAGTCTTGGAAGCCCACGGGAAGGTCACTAGTGACTCAATGGCAGTGAGGTTGGTTTGGGCTTTATCGTTGGTTAAAGTAGTTGGGATGATCCAATTGGACTGGACTCCATGTATGTCAGAGTGGGACTATGTTCCACTGAACTTTCAGTGGCAGATTTGTCTGAAGCAGAGAACCAGGATTTTCTCTCAAGGTGCCTCTGCATAGACTCCACGGACCTCTAAGCCCTTCAGTAAGCAGCCGAGTAGGTTCACCATCTGCACCACCCAGAGACTCCCTTAGTTGGTTAACATGATAAAAAGGTCACTGATTTTCCAGTAAATATTAATTTTAAAAGGTTCCCTGGTGGTGTAGTGTGTAACGCCTTGGACTGACAACCACAAAGTCAGTTCAAAACCACCAGCTGCCCGGTAGAAGAAAATGAGGCTTTCTGCTCCTGTGAAGATGGGTAGTCTCGGAAACCCAAAGGACCGTTCTACTCTGTCCTGTAGGGTTGCTGTGAGTTAGAACTGATTTGATGGCAAACTTACTGATGGCAGTAAGTTTGTTTTGTTGTTGTTGTTGTTGTACATTCATTTTGCTGTCTCAATTTTCTGATAAAAACAAAACCCTTTGAGTTGTTTTTTAACTGGTTGAGTTAGATTGCCCTGAAATGTTGGATTTCCTGATTCTAGATCATCACGTCCACCACCAGCAATGCTAATGCTGTTCTGCAGATCGACAATGCCAGGCTGACAGCTGACGACTTCAGACTCAAGTAAGTAGACTCACAGATTGAAAAACCTTCGTTCAAGTGCCCTTTAAATATTACCAACTCCTATCCTGAAATTTGGATTTAAAATGAACAGACTGTCATTACTCTTTTTATACTCAGATACTAAATAAAGAATTGGAACTGCTGTAAAATGATTTCCCCAGACCCTGGTTCTTTTTCTATCCAAAGAATATCTCAACTTTTTAAAAATATAATACTTACAAGGCCAACTTTGAAAATATCTCTTGTGATAGTATCTACCATTTTGAAATTCTAGAATTTTTCATCTTTGATCACCGGTTTGGGGGCGGGGATGACTATTTCTCCAGTTCAGTTGTGTAATACGTTGGAAAACCATTGACCCTCCTGAAGGTATGAGAACGAGCTGGCTCTTCACCAGAGTGTAGAGGCTGATGTCAATGGGCTGCGCAGAGCTCTGGATGAAATAACCCTATGCAGAACAGACCTGGAGATTCAGTACGAAACCCTGAGCGAGGAGATGACGTACCTCAAAAAGAACCACAAAGAGGTAAGAGTTGGCCATCTACAGCTTGCTGCTTCCTCTCCAGTCCCTGTTCCCCTGACCGAAGATCACAAACTGGCCTCTGAGGGATGAAGTGGGTGTGAAAGACCCATTGTCAGACAAGCATGGAGGCTGAACTGTCTTTAGAAGTGGAAAAGTAGCTTTGGACCCATTCGCCTTTGCTCTCTTATCCAGTTTCCCATGGGAAAAAAGTGGGAATCATGTTTTCCAATCAGGGTTGTAAGAGCAGAGTTTGACTATGTAATTATAAGTAAGTTAAAACAGCCATTTAGTAGATTACATCTAATTAGATAAAATAAATATGCTTTACGGACACCCCATGAAAGCTAGATATGAATCCCCACATAACAGCGACAGATTTAAAACATAGAAACATTTACTTACGACATACATTCAGTATCTATCCTTAATAGCAATGTTTATTCTGAATAGGTATGGCTATAGACACAGAGAGACTAAAATACAACAGATTTTATACTTCCAAAGAAATTACATGCTCCCAAAGTAATCACTAGAAGCCAGCGTTCCTATCCATTTTGAACCATTGTCTTATAACAGAGAAAATATCTTTACCCTTTGAAAGTTCGTTTGAAACATCTAAACGCTCCAAAGACTTCCCAGTCAAGCCAAATGCTTAAAGCAAGAAATGAAGTTAGAATACTACTTGATTAGTCAAGAGGCTGTATGAGAAATGTCACCTCTTGAAAAACAGGTGTATAAAGATGTACAGGTTCAAGTGTGGTCTGGGTCATGGTGATTGGGTGGATTGAATGCATGCCATTTTTAACACCTCATGTTCAGGCAACCCCAGATGCACCATTTTATCTCCTTTTTCTATTTGAATTGGTAAGTTTGCATTAAACCTTCTGAAGTGAAACGCACATTTGCAGATAAAGATGGTTTAGGGGCCACCGTGGAGGAAAGAATACTGGAATGGCTTGAAGGGTTTGCAGCAGGGAAGAAAGAGAGAAGTTCAGTTTCCATCATTAGAGCCACCATTGGATATGGGAGGGGAGGAGGGTTGCTGTGGCTGACATAAGCTGACCAGTGTCAGGTCAGTGGGCAGTCTTGGATCACTTATTTATCTGGTTCATTTCCAGCTCACTGCTTTTATAGCCAGCCATACCTACTAAGTCTTGGCAGTGATGGTTAGGATCACCGCTTGCACTCTTAGAAGGGACTCTTTGCAACCCAACTGCGTACGCTACAGGTAGACCAATAGGCAGGATTTGACCAAAAGATTCCACCATCTTTGATGTTAACCATAATCATAATCACAAGTGTTTGTTTAGTATTCAGATGTCAAGCATACTGCTATCTTATTAAGATTCATTCTTTCTTTCATTTCTTTCAGAAAGAGGATTTTTTAAGATTATGCACAATTTTCAGATTAAAAAATGAGACTTTAATAGTTAAAGCAACTTTCAAAGTTTTTTTTATACAGTCACTACCACGCAGAATCAGAATTTACACAGAGCTCTGTCTGACTACAAAGGCTCTCATGACACTAAAATCCTTCTGAAGGCCGTTATCCTTGAGAAGATGCTGCTCTGACCCGTGAGTGAGGAGGTGGAAGCTTTTAATTACTTCAACCATTCAGATTTATTCACAATAACTCCGTCCTTTGACATTTATGTTGTCTGCCCTCAGGGTATATAGGTGGGTTCATCTCTGCATGGAATGAAAATCAGTCTACAAAGGTGGAGCTATTTAGGCTACAAGTGAATGGAATAACAGAATGGACAGCAACAGGGTTAAGCATTTTAAGGATTTTCGTTTGGAAAGGGAGGTCCTGGGTGGCACAAATGGTTAAGAGCTTGACCATAGGTTGAAAGGTTAGTGGTTCTAATCCTCCCAGAGAACCCTCAGAAGACAGGCTTGGCATTCTGCTTCCAAAAGGTCAGTCTCGGAAACCTGTGCCATGTTCTATCAGACACACACGGGGTCACCATGAATCAGAACCGACTCAAAGGCCACTAACAAACCAACATCTGGAAAAAGCACTGAAACTTTTTCTGGGTAGCTGAACTAACACCGATGGGTCAGAGTTCTCAGAGCAAGAATTTGACTCACTATGAGGGAAAGTTTTGTAACAATGGAAACTTTTGGTCTTGTTGTTGGGTGCCTCTAAGTCTGCCTGAACCCATAGCAGCCCTCTGCAGAACAGAAAGAAGCTGTCCTGTCCTGTCCTGTCTCGTCCTGAGCCAGCCACATAACTGTTCCGATGTCTGTGCCCAGGGTTGCAGCCATGTGTCCATCCATCTCCTGGAGAGCCAGGGAATGTCTCGGGTGGAGGGAGCTTTTCATGAGAGCAAGGCAAGGCTTTCTACTTCCATAAAGAGTTTCCATCTCAGAAACCCATAGGCAGGGGCACTTCTGCTCTGTCCTACAAGGTGCTAGGAGCAAGCGTGCCTCCATGGCAGTGCGTTTGGGTTTCCCAACTTGGGAAGTGGAACCAGCTGAACTCATTGAATCTTCCAAGCGCTGCTCGTCTCCCCTGTCCGTGAATGGACACAGAATGGACAGGAGAAGGTGACCACTTTTTTGCACCCAGGAAATGAAGGTTCTGCAGTGCGCCGCGGGGGGCAACGTGAACGTGGAGATGAACGCGGCCCCGGGCGTGGACCTCACGGTTCTGCTCAACAACATGCGCGCCGAGTACGAAAACCTCGCCGAGCAGAACCGCAGGGACGCCGAGGACTGGTTCAACGAAAAGGTGAGTTGCCCTGCAGAAAACAAGCCTTCGGCGATCGGGGCGATGCCCACGATGCTGAAGTGGGCTGTCCTGCCTGCTCGTTCCAGAGCGCTTCGCTGCAGCAGCAAATCTCTGAGGACGTCGGGGCCACCACCTCGGCCCGCAACGAGCTGACGGAAATGAAGCGCACCCTGCAGACGCTGGAGATTGAACTGCAGTCCCTCCTGGCCACGGTAGGCGAGGGCGGCTCCTTCTCCTCTCCGGGGGGTCGTTTTAAATTGGTGACTGGTGGCTTGGAATCTTCGAAAGCGCGGCCACACACGTTTCTAGATAAATAACTTCAAACCGAGGGAAAGAATGGGATTTCGCATATAAAGCCTAATACCGCCCCGCCAATCCTTCGGCCTATTCTAGCCAAAAGGTAGATTTGCTACCCACCTTTTTTTTATTTGTATGTTTGTCTAGGATGATGAAAAAGATACAGTAAAACCTATGCTGATTCAGCAATGTCTACATGGATGAGTGAGAGACCTTAACTACCTTCTTCCAGTGGTGTGGCCATTCTCAATATTGCTTCCTATGCCGTTAACATGAACTCAGTGCCCGCCCCCCAGGGAAAAGTTCCTTCTTAGCCCCTATCTCCCACTCCCAACATGATGACGAATCAGGCACTTGTTCCCTTTTTAAGTGGTGCCATAAGCTTCTTTTAACGCCATGTCGATGTGAAATCTAAAGCAATTGTAGACAAAGGGAACCCAGGAGATACTCAGACCAAAGCAAACGTCTGCGCTTCTGGGGCCCCGTCTCACCCTCAGCTCTCGTCCTTGCTCCCTAACAGAAACACTCCCTGGAATGCTCCCTGGCCGAGACCGAAGGCAACTACTGCACGCAGCTCGCCCAGATCCAGGCTCAGATCGGGGCCCTGGAAGAGCAGCTGCACCAGGTCAGGACCGAGACCGAGGGCCAGAAGCTGGAGTACGAGCAGCTCCTGGACCTCAAGGTCCACCTGGAGAAGGAGATCGAGACCTACTGCCTCCTGATCGGTGGAGAAGATGGGTAGGTGAAGGAATAGAAAGGGGGGGTGGGAGGTCATTTATGGAAAGCACCTTAATACCTACACCTCTGGAAAGAGGAGCACAAGCTAATGTGACCGTATTCACCAGGGCTGAATACAGATCACAGTGCTGCCAAGTGGCAAGAATCAAAGGTGTCAAATCTGGTGTTTATGGGATGACACGTAAAAAATATTCCCTCCTGGTGCTAAAACTGAAGAAGCCCAACTTTGTGACTCACTGAAGGTGCTCCCCCACCAAAAAGATCATGAAAAAATGTCATCATGAATCTGGCCTCTCGGGGGTGCTTGCCAAATCATTCTCTCTTGTGATGGTTCCAACTACCTATGTCCACAGGGCTTGCAAGTCCGGGAGCTTCAAGTCCAAAGACTATGGTTCTGGAAACGTGGTGACCCAAGTGAGAGGTAATTAGAACAAGATTCTCTTTCGGTGCTGTGCTACTTCATTCTCAGCGTCATCCTCGATGGCTTTTACGGCACTTAATAAAATTAGTGGCCGAAAAAGAATGGTAGGAGACATCAGTGTGCTTGACGTCTAAACTCAGTGAGGTGGACTCCTTCCCACAAAGGAGCAGGCTAACACGCCTTTAGTGAAGCAAGAAATCAAAATCCACAAGCACTGCCTGCACTTCCTTGTATCTGTGCTCACTGCTCCCACAACATTTCATCTTTCAATGTGAAACAATCAATAGTGCAACATAAGGAAGGGCTATGATTCCTCTTATTGGTATGATTTCTTATTCTTCTTTTTCCAACCTGTTCAAATCTCCTTTGAAATTCACATTTTTAGATCCTCCCAAGGCCATTGTGGTTAAGAAAGTTCTCGAGGAGGTTGACCAACGCAGCAAAATGCTCACCACCCGGCTCCACTCTCTGGAAGAGAGGTCTCAGAGCAATTAATCTGAGGCACGACCGGGGCGTCCTCCAAATGTCCTCCGAGAAGAGGGGGCGTGAGGGCAGGCGCCTGCCTAAGAACAAGGTCTCGCTTGCTACCTTCTGTCACTGCGATGAAATAGAAACATTGCCCTATTTCGATTGCACGTGAGCATGAGCAAGGCGGAGAAAAAGGTCTATCCTGCTGTCTTTCTATCACTGAAATATTATCTCTACCTGCACCATCAATTCATTGGAAAGAATCTCGTTTATAAACACAATGCCTCTCTTCATTACCTTTCAGAAATCTAGTGCCAATCCTTGGCATTCAATAAACCTTCCTTCAGCATGGCATCACTGATGGTGGAGTTGTATCTTTAAAATGCATAGGTCCGAAGTACAAATCTATGACACCTAACACCTGGGGCGGCTCTCTGTCCTCAAAGGGGAGCGGGGAGGGGAGAGGAAGGAACTGAAGCACCTTCTGCCACAATCTATTTTAAGTGCACTAGAAGTCGGAATGTGAAAGGCACCATTTTTTTCTTCTGGAAAATAAATGATTTTCTAAATGAGATACAAAACAGTACAAACCATTAAGGCAAAGGCTGATTCGTTTGACACAAAAATTAAAGCAAATCTGTTTTAAAGACACCACAAGGATGCGCAAACACAGGCCAGCACCTGGAAGAGATGTCTGCATCGTAAGTAGCATGTTGGGTTGCTAATCACAGGTAGCAGTTTGAACCCAGAAGCTCTAGGGGAGAAATGAGGCTTTCTACTCTAGAAAAAAGTTAATAGTCTCAGAAACCACAGGGGCAGTTTGACCCTGTCCTGCAGGGTCACTATGAGTCAGAATAGATTCCAGGACAGTGCATCTTTTGGTTTGCTTATAATCAACACTAAGATTCCTGGTGGTGCTGTGGGTTAAACACTAGACTGCTTAAGGCAAGACTGGTTGGTGGTTTAAACTCACCAGCTGCTCCACAGGAGTAAAATGAGGTCATCTGCTACCATAGAGAGTTACAGTCTCAGAAACCCTAAGCAACAGCCCAACTCTGCATGACACGTTTCCATGAGAAGAAATCAACTCAGTGAGAATGAATTTGCATTTACAGTCAACATTATCATAGCATCCAAAAAACACATGGATGATCCAAAAAAGACATGGATGACCCAGTAAGAAAAAGACAGACAACACTATTTTTTTAAGGCATAAAATTTGAGCAAGCTCCTCACTGGAATGCCATAATTTAATGAACATGAAAATAGACTCAATCTCACTCATAATATGAATATGAACATTTAAAAAGCCACACTGAAACTCCATTTCACACCCTCTGGGTTGGCAAGTATCAAAAAGTCTCTTTGTACCAAGTGTAGATGAGGATGTGGAATGACAGAAACTCTTGTGTGATTATCATTCTGATCTCTTTGAAAAGTGTTTGGTTGTACCTAAGAAGTCTGGGAATGTACATATTCCATCACCCTGAAGTTTCACTCCTAAGGATAAACTTCAAAAGACCGTGCACTTGTATGTGCTGGAAACATTGTGATGTAATAGAAACATTGCACTGTTTCTATTGCACGTGACCATGAGCAAGGCAAAGATAAAGGTCTATCCTGCTGTCTTTCTATTACTGAAATATAATCTCTAGCTGCACTATCAATAAGAATATCTCCCCATTCATCTGAAAGAATCTCCTTGAAATACGATGACTCACTTCATGAAGTTTGGTCAGGAAACATGACCAGCAATGTGCACAGCAGCATTATTCGTAATAGTGAGAAACTGAACGCTGTAGCCATCCACAAAAGCATGGATAGCTATGGTGTGGCTTATGCGTATCACAGACTGTTATACCACAGGGGAAAAGAATGAACCCGAACCCCCTGTAGTGGACAGACAGTGTGATGTGCCACCCTTAAATGAAGACTCAGAGCCTCCTTACCCAGAGTCAAATCCTTTCCGGATCACGTCACACCCATTGACTGATGAATGTAGGACCATAAACACCTAACCATCTCTTGCCAACTCAGAACAATAATACCTAGACCATTTGAGCTCCAGAGTTCCAGATGGAGCTCAATTTCACTCCCTTGCCAGTCATGCTTCCTGATTTCCTCCACCGATGTGGACCCCAAGGGCAACTTTCAATCACATCCTGCACAGTGCCCTACTTCACAGGAAACCCAACCGCGCTTCCCACACACAGAAACAATGTTGAATTACAGAAACATCAAGGCAAAGGGGTGAGGGGGCGGGCAAGTCAAAAAATGCATACAGTATGGTTCCTTCTGTATAAAATCCAAAACGCACTCTTCAGAGGTACCTAGGTCCTATGAGTCTACACGGAACAACAACAACAGCCCTGCAGATGGTAAAACAAGTGGTAAAACCCAGGCCGGTGGTGGTGACTTCCCAGAAGAACAAACAGCTTCGTATTGAAAGATGTAGGCATGAGAACGGTGAGACTGCGACTTACATACTACGGGCATATTATCAGGAGGGGCCAGTCCCCAGAGAAAGAGTTCATGCTTGGTCAAGGCGAAGGTCCGTGAGAAGCAAAGATCCTTGAAACAACGTGTAACTCTTCCCCCCTCTGGGGCCATCGCTGAAGAGCAGCAGCAAGAAGTTCAATCCCTTTGTGACTTTGGACCAGAGCAAAATCCGGGAAAGGCATTTCAATGCGCCTTCCCACACACACAGGAAGATTATGTCTTCCCCTCTTTGCAAAGAAACGGAGACAGAACTACAATGTCCGGTCCATGCCCACCGGCATGGATGATGACGTTTGGGTTGTGCAAGGACACGTCAAAGGTCAGCAAATTGGCAAAGTGGTCCAGGTTTACAGGAAGAAATAGGTCATCGACATTGAACGGGTACAGTGAGATAAAGCGAATGGCACAACTGCCCGTGTGGCCATTCACCCCAGCTAGGTGGTTCTCATGAGGCTAAACCTGGATAAAGCCAACAAAAAGATCTCGAACGGAAAGCCAAATCTTGTCAAGTAGGAAAGGAAAGGGCAGCTATAAGGAAGAATCACTTGCGAAGATGCAAGAGTAAGATAGTCTTGTGCACAGTTTCCATTCAAACCGGCCCATTGGAAAGCCTCGGTGTTCTGTGTGGTGCTTTGGCCCATATCTGGTTACTGTTCGTGCAGTCTCTTCTCAGTCTTTAGACTGGGAAAGGGAAGTTCAGGACACACTGGCTATTGAAGTCCGGCCATACTTCTCTGGTTGGCTCCATTCCACTGATGGGAAATACTAGTGAGCGGGCTATTTTTGTTTGTTTTTTACCCTTCATGGTTAAATTTAAATGAAATGTTGTCATTGTGGTCATTACATTGAAGAAGAAGAAGGAGAAGGAGGAGGAGGAGGAGGAGGAAGAAGATCCTCAACAATGTGGATTGTCACAGTGGCAGCAACAGTGGGCCCAAGCACAGCAGCGATTGTACAGTTGTGTTGAACCAAAGGTCTTCTGAGTCTCCAGCAATCCAAAGACACCTAACAACAACAACAACAGCAGCAGCAGCAAACGCAGACGGCAAAACAAGTCAGAAAACCCAGCATGGGTTGAAAGATCCCTTGGGGGACAGACAACAGGAACTCTGCGAGAAGGACGTGGTTCCATTTCTTAAGCTGAAGCGTGGATACCCAAGTGGCTGTTTCCTCGTTATCCTTTAAATGATACCGGTCACTTTTAAGCTTTTGTGTGTCAAATCTGTTACAATAAACTATTTCAAAGCAGCAGTGATGCCAGGGCTGGAAATAAAGATGGGGTGGGTGATGCCGTGGGGAGAAGAGCGCTCTGGAAAGAGGCTGGGGATGAAACGGCAAGGTGGCGAGTTTGGTTTGGAACATGGGTGCTGAAGTGAGGGCATGTTGAATGACTACCTGAAAGCAAGAGAAAGGACTGGAGCAGGGAGTGGGATGTCTAGAGCAGAGAGCTAACTGCTGGGACCCGGAAAAGAAACGAGCATGAAGACTTCCCTGGAGGATGAAGAGCCGACGTCCGAAGAATGGGCTGAGCAGCAGAGAAGGATGAAGGGGAGAGAGGAATTAGGTCTGTGGGCCAGAGGAAACCAGGAGGGCTCGGAGTTCGTGACGTCAGGAAAGGAGCTCTCGAGTTCCCAGAATGACACCGCAGACGCTACAAATAACAGAAAAGATGTTTTGATGTTAAGCCATTTGGGTTCTCTGCCATTGTTTGCATCCACTGCTCCTGTCCACTTAATCACAGCTTCAAAAATGTACTCAATAATAAGACTTTTGTTTAGTAATCACGAGATTTAATTTGGAAGGCATTTTTACAATTTAATGATAGTTATCTATAAGGGAAAAAAGCTCTCTGGAGACATTTCCAGAGCCTCTACTCCTTGGTAGCCAGCGAGTCAACACCCTTGTCTGATCTTCCTGTTGTCCCTCTTGCTGCCGGCACCTTCTAACTCTGTTTACTGCAGGCTTCAGCTCACAGAAATGGTGAGCATTTCCAGGTCTTTACATTGAGGTCTTAACAAATAAGGTCTTACCTCATGCAATGATAAAATTGCATCTATCTATGCACTCTAAAAGTTACATTAGCACAGACCAAAATGGTGGCCACATAGCCAATCATCAAAAGACTCTAAAGGGAAGGAGAGGGATTCCATTGAAATTAATATTTAATACTCTCAACCTTATCTCTGTAAATATCTTCATATTGTTTTCAACTCCTTTAAAGCATATGTCACCATGCTCCTTAGAGAATGATCATCAGTATTAACTGAAAGCTTGCCAATGTTTTGTGTGGAATAATTCCAACTCGATCCTATGGGGAGTGCTTGAGACCAAAGGGGGTCAGGATTCTGAAATATATATGGCTGTCCTCTTTATGATCAACACCAAGCAGTAGGCCAGCCTCCCCCAAAATGCTGGTGTGCACCCCATTTACCCAGCCCTAGCGGAGAATTGTTACTGCAGAAGGTTCTCTTACAGCTATAGGAAGATCGTGACCTGCCCAAGGGCTCCCGTCCACACGCCACTCGTTA